ATAGTGGTCTTACTATATCCGTCACATATCACAGAAGGAAGTGCTAATAACTATAATATAATCTTCTTGAACGCGTAATACCTAACTCGAAATTTTATATTAATTATCCAAAACGTTGAAATACTAGTTTTCAATGCATTGGAGCTTGAAAAGCACTATTTCGCCACGATGCTGAGTCTATCTTATATCTTAAAAAATGATGAGGTTAAATACATCGTATAAAAAATCACTAGCATTTTAGTATTGAAATTTGGAATTTTATTTGCCGGTCTATATGTACGATACATACGTAAATATAAAACGTCGCGTTAGCGATCTTCCCACTTGTCCCCGTTCGTAATATTCACTCAAGTGTCATTGATCTTCTCGCACAGCTACATTCATCTATCAATATCGTTTCTGCATCTCGCGAATTCCTGACCAATTTGATCGGAAAGTAATTTGAAAGATCGTCGCGCGCGCGTGTCGTGTCTCTTTCATAGAACGCTCATTTACAAATATCGACCGCCTCTCGTTAATGACCGTTTAATGAATATGGAACTACTTACGACTAACGCTAGACTATACAAAGTGCTACCAATAGTAGCGGACGGGTACGTCGGGACACATCCGATCTAATCACGGATGTGATTCTTAATTTAACTTGTCTGATACTGGGCCTTTGTGAAGGATAAGACCCGCTAATCGCGAGAGTAACAAATTGCTTTTCGTTCGCCAAACGAACGACTTAAAGACTAAACTTGTCAGTCACTCCCGTACGTACCCACCACCACCACCACCACGACTTCATCGATTTATTTCCTAGATTCAATCCCGCTGAGAACTGTCTGATCGACTCGCTTCTTCGGTGGAACCTACGCGATGCTTCCTGGCGATTCTCTTTTTATAAAAAAATCCGAATCTGGTATCATGGTATCATAGATAAATGTGGCACATTGTATCAAATATTGTTCTCTTAGAATTGCATAAATTATAAGTTTTAATTATGCATTTATGATCAAAATAGAAATAATCTTATTTTTTTCTTTTAAACATAAAATATACTACAAGGTAGCACACAAATAGTTGACACATTTAAATTTTTTATTTGCATCTTTATTTTACATCGAATAAGATTGCAATTTCAGGTAAAAAATGTGATGTCCTTAGAAATTTATTTCATGGTATAACATGTTCGATATGATCTCCATTGCGCCGAACAACCTTTGCAAGGCAAATATACTCGTTTATGATGACTCTACGAAATATGTCCTCATGGATCTCACCACACAACTGTATCCGGATTCGCATTTTCATAATGTTTGTAGGTCTTAATGTAAAAAGTTGTTTTTAGGTATCCCCACAAAGGAAATCACAAGGATTTTAAATCGAGGCTCAAAAGTCAAAGGTCAAAAAAACCTTGTGGTGCTCTGGATAGCGATTGGATATCACAGTCACCGAACGCTGTATTTTGGATTATTTGTTGGATTATTCAAAAATAATCCAACACATTTTTTTCTGTTTCATGAAACAAAGCATAGATGGCAGTGCCTTACAATCATATTGCCGAATCCAACACTAACGGTGTGAGAAGTCGCGCCATTTTGCATAAATTGAGTATCAATAGATTGGTCGCGAGACTCATAAGGACATAATGCCGCAGAGTCACCAAACAAACATGTGCATTCGCACATTCGTTTCTAAAATTGCAATCTTATTCGATGTAAAATAAAGTTGTAATAAAAAATTAAAATGTATCAATTACTCGTATGTCACCCTGTACAATAATAATATATGAGTATAAAGGTAAAAATTGCTTCATGTCTAACATGTAATATTTTTCCAATTAATTGTAACGAAATTATATATATATATATATATATATTGCTATATTACTAGTCTGATACAACGGGTGTTTACGATAATTCAAGTTCGAGTTAGTTTCACTAGGACCGAAAAATGAGATAGACATAACCATCTAGAACCTTTATGATTCACCTTATGATTCATGACAACTCGACGCTGTCTTGTATTGCTTGAGTTAAATTCATTGAATTTGTTGAGTTTATTGAGCAAATTTTATTGTAATAGAAAAATGTCAACTGCAAATCAGTCTATGAAAGAAACAAATAATGTTGGTATGTATGTTGGTATACCTCTTTAATAAATTAATAATAATATAA